AATCCACAAAAACAAAATCCAAACATACAGGCAGCACAGAGAACGGAAGGTAAAAGGTCCATGACTGAACAGACTGGCACAGAGAACAATGACAGACGATATTAGACGAGGACCCGACCAGAGAAACAGGACACAGGTGGACTTTGTTAAGGAAGAATATTCTAAATTAGTTAACTTTGGAAAAAGTCTGGCTCTCTCTTCCTCTGGATCCCAGGTTCTCTCGGCGGGCCGCGTGTGGCCACAAGGAAAACAACAATGCGTGTTGACGTCACAGAATTACAGAGTTTAATCCAATATAAGACAATACATAAACTTACACCAGAAACTGCAGAACAACGGAGACATACATTCATTTACCTGACATAAATGGAAAGAAGAAGAAAAGCAAAGACGTGCAAAGACATCTTTGGAGAGTTGCAAGAGCAAATCTTGTTACTTCTGTGTAGAAAGTTTTATCTTCTTTTCTTTAATTTATTCAAATAAGGCGTATCTTTGCTCATCCAACCAGGAGCTATCTCTGACCCTCTCTCAAACCCCTGCCGTGTTTACGGCCTTTCACAGATGAGTGTGAAAAGCTGGAACTTCTCCTGATTGTTTTCCCACACAGACAAAAGGCAGTTCAAACGATCCTAGCAAACCATCTGCTGTAACTACAGGTAACATAAAGGTCAATAGGCCAGAATAAGTTACTAATTTCAAACCACAATTAGGCCATTTGGATCAAGACATGTTAAGTTTTAAAACTAGCTTATTTTAAATTTATTTTCTCAACAACTTAAATACACAGGGAAGGTAATTAGGGAACAAGACACACCTGGGAATCAATCTTGGGGGACGAGACAAGAAACCGCAGAGACTCAGGGAAACAAAACCTAGAAAATAAACACACAAAAAAACTCAAACGCTCACATATGGTCTGTGTTAAAATGTTAGCACTTATGGGGCCTGAAGGTTTGAGGGGCCTTAAACAGCTGCTTAAGGCCCCTCATACTCAGGTGTACTGTGTGCATTCCATGAATGGTGCAGACTGTTGTGTCAAGCTACTTATTACCTGAAATTCTCTCCTGACAAATTCCTTTATTTCACACAATCTTAATGAGAACTAGCAAGTGTGATGAACTATTTGGGTGCCTAGCTCCGTTTCTTCTACATCTGAGAAGCTTTAACTCGCCTCTCAGTGCAGACAGAGAAAGGCAGAGACATGTCGGTTCATCCGGCAGACAGTGAGCCGCTGCCCGGAGCAGCGCAGCTTCCTGGTGCAGGTCGAGGAGCAGCAGGAGGCGGCGCTGGCTTTAGCAGAAATCAAGGAACCTTTCAATAAGCTCTGTTTATTATGTTCCGAAAGCACAATTGTGATCGGTGTAATAATTTGTGCATCAATCGAAAATGAACACATACCCGATCATTATTTCTTGCCGTTGTTGGGAGAAAAAAATAAAAGTCGGACTCAACTTATCGGACCACCTCTCTGCTCCGCTGCTGATAAAGAAGTGGAGCAGAGGTTTTTTTGTTCTCATAATTCTGCATAATTCACCATGTCAATATTTGCATGAATATATAAAGCCTCAGGGCCAAGGAGAGACCACTACAGGGGCAGGTGCTCAAAAAAAAAAGGGCCCATCTAACCGCCTTCTAGGACAGAATATTAACAAAGCCACACAGCTTTGAGTTTAATAAACAATGATACATTACAAAATAGTGAGATTTACAATCAAAGCTAAGGAACATCTCTATATAGAGCATACAACTTTGCATATGTAAGATATCCATCCATCCATCCATCCATTTTCTTTACACCCTTGTCCCTAATGGGGTCAGGAGCTGCTGCTGCCTCTCCAGCTAACGTTCTGGGTGAGAGGCTGGGTCACCTGGACAGGTCGCCTGTCTGTCGTATGTAAGATATTTTATTAGTAATTTCTTTCTGCAGGTCTATATTGTTATAGGAAAGTATTGCAATATTCAAACCCGCAATTTAGCAAGATATGTAAATCAGAGTTGGGGCCTTTAGTTTGCTTATGCCTTGGGCCGGCTCTAAATGTGATCAGCATTGCATCGTGTTTTTAGATCCACTGGTTGATTACGCAAACAAATATTCTATTTATTTTGAAAGTCAGTCGTTGGCCTCGTTTTCTCTCTTTTTGCTCCATTTTAGTTTGTCTTATTGATTGGCTTCGTTGGTTGAAAAATGTTTAAATGATGTTTTCCTGAGACTCCCTCCAGGTTCCTGAGTGGACCTCCAGGCTGAAACCAGACCAGGCTAACTGTGATTCTCCCTCTCAGGTGTGGACAGCTGTGAAAAGTGGCTGAGCTGCAGGAACGAGTTCCTCCAGAAGTACCTCCACCAGGTGCTCACCCAGCTGCCCTCCTGCCCCTGCTCCTACCCCTCCGAGGCCGTCTACGGCGCCATCAGCATCCCGGACCGCAGGCTGCGCAGGACGTACCGCTGGAGAGACGCCAGCGGACCCAAAGAACGGCTGGACATCTACAAACCTTCGGCCCGGTTCTGCGTCCGCTCCATGCTGTCCTACGACAGCCTGACGCTGGGGACGCAGCACTGTTGCTATGACGACCGGATGAGGCTGATCACACGCGGCAAAGGCGCCGGAGCGCCGGACCTGATCGGCGCAGAGTTCTCCCCGGAGCTGCATTACCAGGTGGACGTCCTGCCCTGGATCCTGTGCAAAGGAGACTGGAGCCGGTTCCACTCAGCCAGGCCGCCCAACAACGGGCTGACCTGCCCGGAGAACCCGGCCGAACCGGCGTACCAGACGGAGCTCAGAGAGGCCCGGGAATACTGAAGGCCGGTTCTGAGAGACAGAACAACCCGTCCAAACCTGAAACCATCAGACCTGGACGGCTGTGTGTGTGTAGGAGCTTATTTATTATCCAGGGAACATTTACTATCAAGGACCTTCGGCTGAACAGGAAGCATATTATGTTAACTGTAAAATGTCATTATTATTATTAATATGAGTGAAATGAAGCCAGTGTCACATAACACACTAATACTTGAAACCAAAATATTAATTTGTACTTCAAGAGCTTTTATTCATTCCTACTGCTGCGAAAATAACTAATCATTATATTATTTAGAGTCCCCCCCCCCAAGTGATTTTGTTATGTAGACCAACACAAGCTAGAATAAAGTCCTATTTAATGCTTTGCTTCTTGTAGCTCTGATGTTAGCCAGGCTGCCTGCTCCAGTAGTTCCTGCACTCAGCCACTGCTTTAACCTGTCAAACTCCAGTCCTCAAGGGCCTCTGTCCTGCAACTTTTAGATGTGCCTCTGCTGCACCACACCTGAAAAGAATAATTAGGTCATTAACAAGGCTCAGGAGAACCGATCTACACAGGGAGGAGGTAATTAAGCCATTTCATTCCACTGTTTTTTACCTGTGGCACATCTAAACACTGCAGGACAGCAGAGGACTGGAGTTTGACACCCCTGTCATTGTGAATGACAACCTGTGAATGACAGGTTAAAACACATTATTTCAGTAAGAGCGATAGGTGGCGCTCTGCTAGTTGTTGGCAGTGACAGAATAGCTGATATTTCTGATTTGATCAGAATTAGCTTGAGGTTCCAGTTTGCCCAACTGACTGATTTTAAGGATTGACTGACTCCTCCCACGTCAGCTTTCACCTCCTTTCAGCTGTTTTGGCGTCAGAGTTTCTGATGAAGATCTCTCTGATAGATTTGAGTTTTAAAGTCTTTCAGTCGATTTACAGGAAAATGCTGACACTATCGCCCTCTTTCCACCGGCTCTACTTCAGCATCTCGTCTGGGCTCGGTTTCGGACTGACCGCGTTTCCACCGGCCCAACTTGGCTCTGTAGCAGGGTGCTGCCTCCTAGTGGCGGGGGGTGTAGCGCCCCGCCTCCAGGCGCTGTGTGCTGCGCTTCGTTACGATGCGACCTAACGCGAGTTTTTCTGATGCAAAAGAAGAAGAAAGAGCTGAGCAAGAAAATGCGCCGGTGGGAGGAAAGCAGGTGGCTCAAACGGTGCAGGTGAGCTAACGATGATTTTTGTATTAAACTACTATAAAACTTGTAATAGTGCCGAATATACATGTGCATTATTTCAATAAGAGCGATAGGTGGCGCTCTGTTAGCTGCCGATCAAACAGAAAGTTACAACCTTGACATGATTTTTACCGAGAAATCGATCAGAAGCGCCGTGAAAATGAACGGATCCTCTGTGGCTGCAGTACGAGCTCTCGACACAGGGGGCAGAATTTCGCACAAGACCGGTGTTGGGAGCTGAAACAGCTGTGTGAAGCTGACACTCCACCCACGTCAAAAAAAATCCAGCAAATATCAATCAATCAATCAATCAATCAATCAATCAATCAATCAATCAATCAATCA